GTTATCTCAAACTTGGTTATTAGTCTTGTTTGATTATGATCACACAAGTTTTCTTTGATTCTCAAATATCTTAGCTCTTAGAGTAAACCAACTATGCTCTATTGGTGTACTCCTACTATGGCTACGAATTTCTTGAGCATACATTTATCGAAGTGCAATCCGATAACTCTTTTAGCATACAACGAATGACATATCCTATCTTAGTCATACACCTATCTCCATTGGATTCCTAGTGCACCCAATGAATCGTCCATGTGCAACCCATTAATGGGTCCATCGAAATGAGTGTCAAAGTGTATAAGTCCTCCAATGAGATAACCGTGATAACTTCAAATCTCAAGAACCATTTGTATCCATATCGTATGAGATTCTCATAGACTAAAACCAAATGGGTTCTCATGGTGAGTCAAGTCCAGGTGATATGTTCTCTAACATAAATCACTAAAGTGCTTGCTTTGGCATCACTATGCCAATAAGTGTGACATCTCCTACTCGCTATTAAATAGCATGAGCATAGCACTCATAAGTCTATCCGTATTTTGTCAATGTCTCGTTCTTGACAACGCTACAACTTAGGATATTTAATGATATCATTTATGTGCATTAGTGTTTGTTTCGCATCTTTCGATCAATAACTATTACAAATGCATATCATAAGGAATTCTATCTAATTCTACCGAATTTATCAACATGTAAACATAAGAATAAATAGAATGACTTCTTTATTATTATTAAAATAAATGCTGCAATGACATATTAACATAAGCCCATCCAAATATGGTTGGATCTTGGGCACCAACACTAACACCAACATCATGCTATTTACCCTCAATTTGAGAGACTCGCAACTGGAAATCTAGAGGATTGGAATACATCGACTCTTTAGTTCAATTGGACGGGGATGTTGAAAAAATCAATTCATTCAAATAATTAGGCCACAAAAAAGTTCCACCGACTTCTAGTAATCGATGGTCCTCACACATACAAAAAACCCATAAGCATGTTTTAACACCCCGATTTAGAACGTTCCTATCTATGTCTATATGTAATCGTTTTAACCCTAAACATATGTGTGTTTTGTTAAACATGCAATGATAAAGTTTAATGTATGTATAAAATATGTTTTAGACTTTTATGAAATTGTGCTTATGTTTTTTTTTATTAATTATTCAATTTTGCATGATTAAGTTGTTGGGTGTTAGATGTATGTGAGATACTTAAAGGCTTAATTGAAACAATTTAAAAACTAAAGTTTAAGGACTTAATTGAATAAAGTAATAAAGTTAAGTGACTATAATATAAAGTGAATCAATTTAGGACTTGTTAAATTATGTTAGGATGGATGTTTTAAGCATGAATTAGGCATAAATTAACATCAAATAAAATAAGAACATGTTAGACTAAGATTGACTTTAAAAAATTTCATGGAAAGTCGTGAACTTTTTAGAAAACGATAACCAAGTCAAAGAAATAAAATTAGTCATACAAGTGTATGACAACTTGGCAAAAATCTCATCCATTTACCTAGATTTAATTTGGTTAAGATAAGCAAATATTCAAACTAATTAGATGATTTAATATTAATAAAATTAGAATAATCTAGAAAATAAATTTTAGCCTAAATAATTCTTACATGTGACAAAAAGTTAAACTTCCATACATCCATATGAATATGAAAGGAAGAAAGAATGGAGGAAAATTCTAAAGTAATATTACACAACCAAGGACTAAAAAAATTCAATAAATTAAAAAAGAAAAGATGGTCATAAAAATGGCCTAAATAGTTGGCACAATCCTAGCCTATTAAACCATTTGATTTGGCCAAGGTGAAAGAAGAAAAGGAGAGGAAATTTTTAGCTTCATTCGGCCAAAAGAGAGGAGAAAAGAGGAGAGAATTCAAGACCTGTTATGTCGGCAAAATAGGTATAAAAAGGGAAAGGAAAGACAAAGATAAGTTTGGGAAAAAAATTTGATTAAGAAACACATCAAAAACACACACACAAATCTGATTTGGGTATGAGAAAGAGAGGAATCCGTAAGATAGGAAAGAATAAGAAGAAGAGAGAAGAAGAGAGAGAGTTACGAGCCTTCAATCCGAATGTTCTAGCCTTGAAAACCTTAAGAAAACAAGAGAGGAAACAAGGGGGAAGCTAATTTGGTGAGCACACTAAATCTAGACAGACTTGTCCGAAAGTGGGAGGAGAGAAAGAGAAGAAGAAATTTGGACAACTTGGGTCGAATCTTGAAAGGAGAAAAGAGAGGTTTTGGTGAGGTATTCAAAAGGTTCTAATACTAATCCAACATCAAGTGTAATCATCCTAACTACATCACAAGTCATAGGAATATGTTGTTTGATTAGGTGTTATTTCATGATTAATGATTGATCATATGTGTGGTCGATTGATTATTGGTTGAAATTATAAACATTCCTTGGAAGGGTGACATCAATTGATGTTTGATTATGTTGGATTATATGATGAATCAATAAATCAAAGATGGAATTAGGTTAAAACATGATCTAGGAGCCTTAAAATTATTGAATTCATGAAATTATTGGTTGTTGGTGTGTTTTGGACAAATATGGATTTTTGGTGGATTGATATTCTAAATCTGAATTTTCAGTAAATTGGTATAATTTTCATGTATTTAATGATAATCATAGTTTTAGTTTATTTAAGGTGGTTGGTGAGTTCCATACTAGGATATGTCTTGATTTGTTCTTAAGAAAATTTGGCCTAATGCTAAATTGGTGTCCCTTGATATTTGTTTATGAATCATGCTTATATAAGTGTTTGTTATGCCATTAGTTAGCAAGATTTTATTAGTTCTCAGGTAAAATAATGCTTTCGGCCAAGCTTGGATTTTCAATGAATTAATGGGATTTGTAGGCGTATATGATAATCATGTTAGTTATGATTATTTGGGAATTAGTTTGCATGGTAATTAATTGATTTCATCTTGAATGGTTCATGGTAGAATTCGAGCTAACAATCATTTTGTTGATCTTGATGTTTATTCATGTAAAATGGTTATATAAATGATGATTAAGCCATTGGATGATACATTGGATGATTTAATATTATTTTCATGTGTTATTTGGTTGATTATGCAAGTGTCTTGTTTGTCATGTATTTTATGACATGATTTTAGCACATTTCATGTTTTTTTTTCCAAGACAAGTCAAGTGTATGGTTTTCAAAAAAATAGCTAGACATGTCCAAGTCACGAGCTCACTTATGGCACACAAAGAGAATGATCAACTCTTTGTGGGCGTCACGGACATCACGGGAAAATCACAAGTTTCACGGAAGACTCGTCTAGTGCTTTTCATGATTTTGTACGAGAGATCGTTTTCATGAATAATCGAATATATATAAATATATTTGGTAGGGAATGTTCGATCATTGAAAACATTTTTCAAAGTCACCAAAGTGTATTTTCTTGCATCATGTATACATGATTATACTTACCGAGTGTTAGTTCATCAAGTTATCTTTTGATATAGGTAATCATGGACATACAAGGACTTGATGTGAAGTTGATGGTAAAGCTAAAAGAAAAGGACTTTGCCAAAATATACTATAAATTTAGTACAAGTTTAAATCTATTTCATTTTTAATGGTTTAGGTAATTAGTTAATTTAGAATATGAATAAATAAATAAATATTTTGAGATGTTTATAAATTAATTTGATGGTTTAGCAAGTTAGTTTATAGTTAGATAAAAAGAAATTAATTTAATCAAATGGAGGATAGAAGTTGAGTTAATTAAAGGGTTAATAGTTAAAATAATAAATGATTTTTAATTAGGATGGATTACTTAAATAAATTTTTTTTTTAATTAAGAATTAGCTCTGAAAGGGCTTAACAAAATATTTAGCTTCCAATGAATTAAATTTAGTTTTTAATCATGTTAATTAATTGGAATTTATACTTTAAATAATAGCTAATCAATAAAGGCCAAATTGATTATTTTTAATTAAATCCAAATTTCCAAAGAAATAATATGATTTATCTTTAATTAGTTTGTTGAATGAACAAAGGCTAAGATTGATTATTTCACATTGTTGACTAAATTAATTAACTGAATTATATAAAAATTATTTGAAAAAAATTAAAGGAGCAAATAGCTTAATTGCATTTCAAAGTATTATTTGAAAAGATTTAAATTGGATTTCACAAGTATGAGTTTTTAAGCATATTTTTGGATAAATAGTTCCACAATATATTAAGAAGAATTGTTATTAAATTTTAAGTTATAATGGTTATTTTGATTAAATAAATTTATACTAGAAAAATTTTATACCTAGTTCCAAATAAATGGACTTATAGATATCAAAAATTAAATAAGCTATCGAGACAAATGTTAATTATTTAGATAGATAATGACAGAAGACTTAATGTCTCACATTCATTGCACTAAGAATGTGATGCACCATTGATAATACTTTTGACTTACTTAAGTCCTAGTCGAAGGTGTTACACGTCCCTTGCTTTGTGCAAATAGTTTTAAGAAACCCTCCCCATATATTCACCAGCAATGGGTTGCCTATTGGTCATAACTGGAAAACTGTCGTGTTACCACATTTATCTCTTTATCACGTCCAATGATATCCAAATAAATTGATTTAAGTATTGGATACGTATAAGAAACCAAAACAATTATTTTTTCGACATTGAGGTTGAAAAGAAACTGTAAAATACAAGAAAAAAAGTAATAAATAAGACATACAGAGTGAAGCAAAGCTGATAATGACCAACATTAATTTTACTATTACTGTAAAATTTGCCAAAGAATTAAGTGTCGATGATCACTATGCTGATACAACAAAGAAAAACTACCAGCAAACAAGCAAAAAGACGAACAAGATAAAAAGGAGGGGGAGAGATGCAAGAAAAAGACGAAGAAAGAAAGAACAATTTTTACCATGTTAAATAATAAATAACCAACTCTTTTATGCTTTGCCGCTGATCTCACACAGAATCTGGAGACCGCATACTTTAATCTTCATCATCTGAGTTAAAAGTTATTTTCTTAGCCTTCGGAGCATCTGCAGAGATTTCTTTGAAGTGAGCCCCGTATAACTTGGACTCCTGCAATGAGAAAAGACACTGCCAATGATGAATACAACCATGGAGGTTGACAAATATAATGCATGGCCAAGTACCCCACATTAATGGACCAGCCCATTCTTTAACTAAATTATGTACATAACGTAATGTAAGAATGTTAGTGCATAATGTACGATAGAAATGTACACCTTTTTCTTCACATGAGTGCCAAATTTCAAAAGGGCAGGTGGAACAATTTGCCCAGCTTCTCTAAGAACATTGACCAACTCTCCAGCGAGCCCCTGAAATAATCATTAGATATGAGAAAAAATTAGGCCAAATTATTGCATAATCAATAACTTAATAGTTTGATAGAACAATTATACGAAAAAGGTGTTAAATATTACCTTATTATGATGTGTGAAAAATGTGTGAGCAACACCCTTCTTACCAGCCCGTCCAGTCCTGCCGATTCTGTGGACATAATCCTCTGTAGTGAGTGGAAAAGTATAGTTGATTACTACCTCAACATCCGGAACATCCAATCCTCGAGCAGCCACATCAGTAGCAACCTGTAGATATATGATGTCAGGGAACACACCCAAAATGTTACAATTACCAACAAAACCGAACAGAAACTCAAAGAAAACTGTTGCAATAATAAGGTTCGCCTACATGACAGGCATTTAGGCAAATTACAATGGGTGACTATTAAAGACAACTGATCCCAAAAATCTGATTTTACATGACATTTCAGCATAACAACAATATTGAAAACAAGATAAACATAGTTAGAGAATTTGTTATTGTCTTGGTAGTCCCACTCATTACATCACATTGTTGAAAAAGAAAGCATATCAAAGACTATTTCTTAATTCTTCCATTTGTGAAGTACTAAAGTTCCTTGCATACACAAATTAAAAAGAAATGCACACTGAAGACTCTATTTCTCTCCTGTGTAAGCATGCACAGAGAGGCAGCAAAAAAGAAAAAAAAAAACCAAAAAAAAAGGGCAGCTTCTATCCATTGTTTTCGAACTTCTCATGCAAAAACCAAAAACCAATAGAGCAGATCTAGAAATCCTGCTGACATTTCTATCGTATGATACTTGCAAAACTGTAGTTAGAACATTTAACAACGTACCATCAAAGGACAGCTTCCCTTCTTGAATAATGACAATGCCTTCGTTCGTTGTTCTTGTAGTTTTTTGCCATGTATAGAAACAACATTCCAACCACTAAAGCACCAAAAAACAAGCTCATTGAAATCGGCAATGCTTTCCAATTGCACTTTCAGCCTCTGGCCAGAAAATGTTGACTTGCCAAATAGAGAACAATAACCAAATTAATAGAGTGTACCTCTTTTTTAGCATTCCATCAAGACGTTCAGCTTCCTTCTGGTACAAGGCAAAAACCAACACTCTATTCCTGATTACAGGTATAATCCATGAATAAGTGTCAAATGAATATTCAAGGCATATGAAGGAAAATAAGGATATTCAAGGTTTTCCATATTTTGGCATGGAGACTTAGACTCCATTTCAGCTAAATCATGGAAGGATAGCATTGGCATTCAAAATAAAAATGTCACAGATGCAAACAGAAAAAAGAAGGCATTGGGTCATGTATGGTTTTGGAGAATTTTCCAGTTTTCTAGAAAAAAAAATTTAGAAAATGGAAAACTTTGGGAAACATGTTTACTAATAAAAAATTAAAAGAAGATTCTTAGAAGATTGTCTTTTCTACTTTTCCACATCTCCACTTTAAAGAAAATGAGGTTTTGTTTAGTCCACATGTTATTTGATCTTTTTATCATTTGTTATTAAAAAACAAATTCCAAACATGGTCCTACTTGTTTTCTATTTAGAAAACTAATAGGTAGGAACTATGTTTTCTTAGTTTTCTATGGTGAAATAATTTAGAATAGAGATAAAATTTGAATGAAATTTAGAAAACTGTTTTCTTAAAGTAAAAACTAAAAACAACCTTAAGCATCATATTTGAAAAACAACAAAATTCCTTTGATGTCATTCATCCAAAAAAAAAAAAAATTACTGCTCCAAATTCTCCACAGTTAAACAGCTCAAGCATTAACCCAGAATCTGTCTGTAGAACAAATTTTACAAAAATCCAGTAAAGGAATAGGAAACATACTGTTGAGATTTGTGATATTTTTCTAGCAAAGCAATCAAACGCTGATCTCGTAGATGGTCTTCCAATACCTAAATTTATGTTAGTGATGATGTTATTATAAGCACAAACACTTCTCTGTACTAATTGAAACATTTGATACTGGAAAAGGCCATCCTGCTGGGCATTAAGAAACTAGACCTCAACAATCTGCATGACATCATGGTTGGCAGCTGTATCCTCGGAACCTACAACCACCTGAGATAGAGCTTATATTTTAGAGGTTATAGAAAACAGCAATATGTAATGGAACGATATGGGAAGATCCACACCTTAACAGGATTAGGCTCCATGTATTCCTCTGCCAAATTATGAACATCAACAGGCCATGTAGCGCTAAACATTATCATTTGGCGGGCTGCACCAGTTTTGAGATTTGTACCAACAGTCAAACAGATGTGCATTACAAATGTACTTTATTTAAACTTATCATAGATTAAAATGAAATTCAAGAAAATTTAGTATAACAATCTAAGAAGATAATCAGAAGGCTAAAATCGATTGAGACTTTATTTTTCCTGCAATAAGGTTTTAACAAGTGGTATTTATCACTTTTTCTATGTTCTTAACCTAGCTTTGTCATAAATTCTAGAAGTTCCGCAAGAGTCTGACAAACAAACTTCTTTATTCATTTATTTATTTCTTAAAGGAGGAAGCAAGTGCTAGATTCTTTCCATACCTTTATTAAAAAAAAAAAAAAAACAGAGGTCTATGGTTTGACCTTTAAATTTCAGGTTTTACTTTGTAACTTTTATGTACAGGTTCCCTGGCCCTTCTAAGGGGCTTTGAATGCATTTTTACACATTAAAAACTTAACAAAAAAATAAAAATTCTAAAATGGAGAGAAAATAAAGAACGAGATGAAGAGAGATCTATTGGTGTCTGGTACATGTCGGCAACTGATCATTGGTTATAGAGAAAAAACTTTAACTAGGCACAGATTGCTACTGAGTTTTGAATGTTCTAGGAATTTCAAAGCTGGTTTGTATCTTGAAGTGACTGTGCAGTTTGAGCATGCAGTTCCATACAAAACTGTTGTCTGCTATAATACCACATACCAGAACATGTGTTGCTCAATATTGAACGAACTTCCTGTCTGAATCCCATGTCTAGCATTCTATCTGCTTCGTCAAGAACCTCCAGAAACCAATTTAAATTCTTTCAAGTCAGAATGCTACACATATATCTCATTTACAAAAGCAATATGAATTGCACAAAAAACAATTCAATGATGCTTGCAACTGAAACAAAGACAATGGGGCATGCAACCATCATACTTCTTGACAAAGGGGAAAAATGAACAGCAATGTCCTTGTCAATTGATACTTGATAAAAACAACTCCAGGACTCAAAGAGTTATCGTCTTACAACACCATGAAATAGAACTTTTTATGACAAACCAAGAGATGAGTTTGCCTTAAATAATGATGATGCAGTTGGAGAAAAATATAAAAATACAGAAGAGCGACTGTCTGGCCATCCAGCAGGCATTCACTCAAGGTCTGCAATATACTTCACTGGAATATTGGAAAATTGGAACCCTCGTTATTAAACAATTTAACCATCATAAGTTAACATGCAATGCTGGAAACGATAGACCTCATATATGTCGAACATCCACAACCACTATTTGTAAAAATCATCTGAAACACTTGGGGTAACCTAAATTTATGTTATATTCCAGTATATAATTCTTTTAGAGGAGTCACTCTCAAGTTCAACACAATAAGATAACATACTAAGCAACCAACAAAATGCTATCACACTCTACAAAAAGGATCCAATGAATAGCAACTATGGGAAGTAGTAATTGTTTAACTTACCACAAAAGATACCTCCATAAGGTGCAATACATCCATTTCTATCAAATCCTTCAAACGACCAGGAGTTCCAATGACAACATCCTGAGCATATAGAAAAAATAATAATATTGTAACCATATGATTATCACAAGAAATGTCACTCTGCAAATGAATAAATTCTTAAAAAATATACAGACAGATTAAGACAGCATGCAGACAAATTGTTACATATGTGGTCTCTGTGTGAATATATGAGAAAGAATGATAAAATGTAGGCATCTGTGTGTAGTTAGAGATAGAGAACAGAATATCATACAACACCAGCCTTCAGAGACGATATTTGAGGTCCTTTGGAAGTTCCTCCATAGATACAAACTGATCTCACACCACAAGGTTCCCCAGCATCATGTATAACGTCTGAAATCTGTCACAGAAGAAAAGAAATCATCCCATTTTCTAGCAATGAGTTTCAACAATAAAATAAAATAAAAAGTTTTTACTTTTAAAAGATCATATGTGAGTGTACAGTGAAGCTGGTGAAAAAAAGCAAAGGAAATGGAGATAAAGGGGGAAACAAATTTGACTATGATGAGACACTCAACTAAAATGCCCTCTACCCAAACCCACATTTTTGTTTCCCTGTTGTCAATGACAGACTCAAATCTGATCACTCGAAATGTATCTCCTTTTCGAGGTAAAGCACTAGGTTTATTTCAAGTACGGCGGGATTTCACCTAGTCTCCGCTCTCAACAGCAAGTGAATTCATTAGTGAAGCCTGCTGGCATCAACAGATGGTGCTCAATATGTAACCAGACCGTAGGTTTTCCTTTAATGAAAAAATAAAGTCATTTATCTAAGTTTTATAACCTGTTTCTGCTGTGGCTTCTGTGAAAATTGTGCCCAAAAAAATAGTAACAAAATAAATAGCACAACAACCATGTTGTCTTCAGCAATGGAATCAATTCAACTGAACATTCTGGAATGATCTTCAATTGGATACATAGAAGATTGTGCATCTCCTTTTACATTCCATGCCCAAAAGCAGAAACTTCAGAATGCATATACCAGCTTTTTACGGGATACATAATTTGAAAGCACAATTTGTAAACGGGATACATACTTGATCAGCTAATTCTCTTGTAGGTGCAAGCACAAGACAAAGTGGTTTCGCCCCCTTTGTCGATTTCCCTCTCCGCTTGCTCAGAACATGCATTATTGCTGGTATTCCAAACGCCAAAGTCTTACCTATAACAAAATAATCCACACACTTGTCTCAAACTTTGCTTCTAGTTCCAAATTATTCAAAAATATATTAAAAAAAAAATTAAATGCACCATATTAACCCAAAAAAAAAGAACAAAATCATATTTCAGGAAACACCACAATCTATAAAATAAACAAACAAATAAATAAATAAATAAGAACTTTCATGAAAATAAAACCAAAAAATCTACCTGACCCGGTTTTTGCAATCCCAATAAAATCACGCTCATCAAGCAAAAATGGCCAAGCATGAGCCTGGATTGGAGACGGATTCTTGAAATTCTTGCAACATTCCAAAACATTATCAGAAAGTTTCGCCTCGGCAAAAGACTTTAAAGGCGCATACTTTGCTTCTTGCGCATCCTTTCCAGACACCACCACTCTCTCTTCCGGCTTTACTTCCTCCTTCACTTCATGAGTTTCACTTGCTTTCCCATTTTCATCTTGTTTCTTGCTCTCTCTTTTTTCTTTTTATCTTTCTTGGCACTTTCTTGAAAATTTCCGCTTTCTTTCTCTTCTTTGTATTTCTTCTTCTTCTTCTTTTCTGTCTTGATGGTTTCTTGTTCTTCTGTTTCTTCAAGCTTTCTCTTTAGAATTGGTTCTTTTTGAGTTCCTTGAACTTCGGGTTCTTGATTTTTGTTTTTATTCTTCTTTTTCTTTTTATCTGATTTGTGACCATTTGCGGTTTCTAGTTGGGCAATTGGTTCGCTGACAGGATTGGTTTCTTGAATCTTTTTACCCATGGCTGCTGTTGTCAGTTAGAGGCTGCGAAGTTAAAGCAGAGCGAACCAAAGCCAAGAGGTCCTGAAGCGGAGAAGGGAGGTTTTATTCTAGGGTTTTAGATGGTGAGAGTTTGGGTCTCGATTTTGTCGAATTTACGTATAAAGGATTCGCTCTTCTTGGGCCTCTTTGGAGCATTTGGGCTGAAACTTCGTCAAATTAGCATGGTCTGATTTCATCAAACTTTACACATTATATTATTATCAATCAAACTAAAATAAAACATGATTTTAGGTTCATTAACTATTTTAAATATTATTTACACACTCATAATCATCATTTATTTAACTATTTATGTTATTTTTATAATATTTTGATCCATAATTTTTTTATAATTCCTTGTTTTAATTTCAAACTTTGATTATATTGTGATTTGGTCCCATCTTGTTTTAGTATTTTTTTATTAATTATTTTTACTATTTAAAATTTACTACTTTAATTTTTCTTTAAAAAAAATATTTCTTTTTTAAATTTTAAAATTTAATCATATTATGATTTGTTCCCCCTTTTTTTTAGTGTTTGTTGTTAATTATTTTTATTATTTAAAATTTACTACTTTAATTTGTCATTTTTTTTCAAATTCTCATCCAATTAATTTAAAATTATATTTATTGAAAATCTTGATTTATTTTTCTATATGTATAGATTTTGGAAAAAACTTTTAGAACATCATTATTATTTCTTTTGAAAAATAGATTTAGATAATTTTTAAATTATAGTGGCATAATTAATATATAATTTTTCTAAAATATATTTTTAGATTAAAAGTGTATTTTTTTCTCAATTTTTTATATTATTTTAAATTTACTACATTAATTTGTTATTTTTTTAAATTCTCTCTTTTTTTTAATTTCAAACTTTAATTATATTGTGATTTGGTCCCATTTTGTTTTAGTGTTTTTTGTTAATTATTTTTATTATTTAAAATTTACTACTTTAATTTGTTATTTTTTAAAAAAATTATCTAATTAATTTAAAATTATATTTACTGATAGTTTTCATTTATTTTTCTACATATATAGATTTTGGAATAAATTCTTAGAACATGATTATTATTTTTTTTGAAAAATAGATTTAAATAATTTTTAAATTATAATGGCATGATTAATATATATAATTTTTTTGAAATACATTTTTAGATTAAGTGTGTTTTCCAAATAATTTTTTTCTTGGTTTTTTTATGTTATTTAAAATTACTACATTAATTTTTCTTTTTTAATTCTTTTTTTTTTAATATCTAACTTTGATTATATTGTGATTTGGTCCCATTTTGTTTCAGTGTTTTTTTTAATTATTTTTATTATTTAAAATTTACTACTTTAATTTTTTATTTTTTTAAAATTCACATCCAATCAATATAAAATTATATTTACTAATGATTTTGATTTATTTTTCTATGTGTATGGATTTTGGAATAAATTTTTAGAACATGATTGTTTTTTCTATTGAAAAATAGATTTAGACAACTTTTAAATTATAGTGACATGATTAATATATATAATTTGTCTAAAATACATTTTTAGAATAATAGTATATTTCAAATAATGGTTTCTTGGTTTTTTTAAAAAAAAAACTCAAATTAATTAATTAAGAGTTGAAAGTCAAATTAATATAGTTTTATTTTAATATTATTCATTCTTTTATAAATAAATATATAAAAATTAAATTCACATTTTTCAAAAACCGATATTCTCATCAACATTAAATAAAAAAATTTATTTGTTCAATTCTACGTAAGCTTTTAATAATTGTTATTTATGTTTTTCAGTACAATCTTACGAAATACTAAAGGTTTTTTAAAAAAAATTATTTAATTTTATTTTTAGATAATAATCCATGGATTAACAAGGATAAATCCTTTTTCTAAAAGAAAAAATATGAAAAACACAAATAAGAAATAGTTAAATATAAAATTTTTATTAAAAAATTATAAATAATTTTTTTTATCATCTTGATTTTATAGATTCACACTATAAAACGGACTATCAAACTGAAATGATTTTTCTAAACGATTTTATATATTTTATCAAACCCGCAACATAACGCGGGCAAAAAAATTAGTAAAAAAACTAAACTAAAACGCTAGTTTAATATTGATTGATATTGTTCTAAATACTATTTATTTAAACTCATATGCATTACTCACGCAAATTTATATACACTATTCTTTTCACTATGCAATTGTATTTTTGTAGTTTTAAACTTTTTAAAGGTATTTATTATGAAAGTTTTAGTAACCTTACACGTTGGTTCCTTTTTTCCAAATATTGTTTTTTTTTATCTATACAATTTTTTTATTTTATTTTGGTCCCTTTTTTATTTCATTTCGATCACTTTCGTCCTTGCTTTTTTTTCTCTCGATTTTTTTAATTAAAAATTTTAAGGAAAAACGTTCTTTAGAAAAAACTAGTTAGATACATGCGATACACTAAGATCGGATAATCGTTATATACGTAGGGTTAATGATTGGTATGATATGGTGTGAGTAAAAGTTTTGTTTTTGACAATTAATATAAATCGAATCTATATATTGAGCGAAATTGTTTGATTTATGTATGTTTATCAATAAAATAATTTATAATATTAGCATAAAAATTTGTATTTGAATAATTAGGAGATTCTTTCAAAATATTAATTAAATTATTTTATTTAAAAAAAAAGCTTTTAGAATATAAAATAAATAAATAACAAATAATTGATGTTATTTGTGCGTATATATAATTAATTTCTAACAAAACTATATATATATATATATAATACTTAACGATTAAGAGTATCTAGAATAAATAAATAAACTATATAAAAATACGCACCTAAATCGCATGGAATATATCGAAGTGAATAAATTTAAATAAAAACTACTATAAAATTGGTTTCAATAAATTCGATAGCATATATATATATATATATATATATATATGGCAAATAAAATCAACAAATTCTATTTTTATCTAATTATTAATTTTTTAAAAAAAATTAAGTTAAATTATCTAAAATATACTTTTAGTTCTCTATTTCTCTCTTTCTCATCATAATTTATGCATACAACTACGCTACTCTTATTTAAAAATCATAAAAATAGTCAATCATATATATATATTGAAGCAATTTTTCCCAAATGTCTTTCATTGATTAGTTCAACGAAAAAAAAAAAAAAAAAAAACATATCTTTACTCACTTTTCTAATTTTTATTGTATTTCAAATTCAAATCATACTATATCCCAGAAAAAATAAAAATATTTTTTTTTGGTCGTGATATTATTTTCTTTTGGTGGTCATTTTTTTCTACCTTTCTTCTATTTTTTATTGAATTTCCAATTCAATTTTTTTATTGAATATTTTATTAAAGTACAAGTATTTCACAAGTCAATAGATTTACGTACCGACAATATTTAACACCCTCATTCACTAATTCTAATGAATTGATGTAAAAAAAAAAAAATCAAAATACAAAGATGACATTAATAAAAAAAATAGAGTATAAAGTATGTTTTAAATATAAAATCAAGAGTCAATAGACTTACGTATCGACAAACTAACGATTATATAATATATATGATCTGTTTTTAGATTTTAAAATAAATATATACTACTCTTATTGTTTAAAATTGACCTTTTTTATTTATTATGAAAATTCTCATCAAGTTAATTTTTATTTTTATTTTTTATATAATTTTATTTGTTAATAAATACAATTTATTAACTTTGTGTATGGATTCGAATAAATTTTTTTATACCTGATTTTATTTGCTTAATACTTATATAATCAAATTTTAAAAATAGAATATACATATTTTATTTTCTTATTCTTTATATAATCAAATTTTATTGAAATTAATTTTATAATTTTTATTGCACTCTATTAACTTTAATAGATATTTTATAATTTAATTTTTTTAAATATTTTTTAATTTACACCTGTACATTCTCACCAATTGAGTACGGTTATAATATATAAAAAATAATAATATTAGAGTCTTTGATTTTATTAGAAATCAGTTATGCATCTACGCACACAATACCAACTATTTGCTTTTAATTTTTTAATGTTTTAAAATTATTTTTTCAAATAAAATAATTGAAATAATATTTTAGCATGACCGCCTAATAATTCAAATACAATTTTGTATACTAAGGTGCTGTTTGATAATTAGGAATAGAGTGGTGAAAATAAAAACGAAAGTTTTATTCCACACTATAATTGTTTGGTTAAAAGGAATGAAGTGGGAATGAAAATGAAAATTTACATACAACTTCATTCGCATATAAGATATGGGAATAAAAACAAGGATTATAAATGAATTTTTTTTCAAAATAATAATATATTTTATTTATTTATTGTCTATTAACTACTTTCACCACCACCGCCGTCGCAATCATCACAACTATCACCATCCCTACAAACACCACCACCACTACCGCAACCAGTACCGCCTCCATCACTTGAAGCACCATTGTCATAACCACCACCATCATCACCTTTATTATTCTTAAACCATTATAGTTTGATAAAATTATTTTTAATCATTATTTTTATTTGTATAAAAAAATTAGATATTAAAAAATTTAAATTGTATTTTGATTCCTCATTAGTGTTTCAAACACGGTATGGAAATACAAATGTCATCCCGATTTCTTAATTTTCATTTTGATTCCCGTATTCTCATTCTCAACACTATATTCCCGATTACCAAACAAGCACCTAATAGTATTCCTTATTTTGTAAATTTATATATATATAAATTAAATGTACATATTTAAAAAAAAATCTTCTCATCAATAAAAAAGTTTCATTTGTTTATTTTCATATAAGTTTTTATAATAATTGTTGCTTTGTTTCTTTGATGCAATGTTATGAAAATAAATATTAAGATGACTTTTTTTAAATTTATATTAAATTTTTTTATTATGAGTTTTTATTTAAGAATAAATGCATAAGAAAGAACAAGTTATATTTTTTTG